TGATTTGTCCTTTTCATATGTGTTCATTTTTTTTAATTGTATCCTTTGGTATATATGGTTGTGACTATTTTCTTCCACTATTTGATCTGAGGAAGTGGGTCTGGCCCACGAAAGCTCATCATCTAATAAACCATCTTGTTAGTCTTTAAAGTGCTACATAGTCCTGCATTTTGCTTCAGCTACACCAGACTAACACGGCTACATTTCTATTACTATTCCTCATAATCATGACAGCAGTGACCCAGCAGCCTACTGTACTCCACCATCTCCCAGCCAGGTCACTCTGCTTCCTGCCACCACAGTGAATATAGGGAGGGCCCTAACTCCTGCTGCCATCCCCAGACCTCCCATCACTCTGGAGTGGGGGTAGAGCAGGGATAAGAAGGGGGGGGCAGGGCCAAAGAAGAGGAAGTGGAGGGGGTGTGGAGCTGCCCTCAGGACTGCAGCTCCTGGCTTCCATGCCACAGCACGGTCTGAGGGCTCTTAGCTTCAGACAGGGGATGGAGGTGTGAGGATTCCTGACTTCAGCCATGGGGTTGGGGATGCTGGGGATGGGGCTATGGGTTCTAGCTGGTGAAGTTACTTGATTCCCAAAAAAGGGTTGAGGACTCCCCAGAGGACCACAGACCCCCAGTTGATGACCACTGGACTAGATGTCCTAATAATTTTTTTCATCTGTACCTTACTTTATTATTTTTTGTTGCAGGAGTCCTATTATTTTAGAGATGCTGTACAAACACATACTAAAACTCAGTCCTTACCCTGAAATGCTTACAGTCTATGCTATAAACAAGAAGTCCTATGGCACCATATAGACTAACAGATTTATTGGAGCATAAGCTTTTGTGGGCAAAGACCCACTTCATCAGATGCATGTCACATCTGACAAAGTGGGATTTTGCCCACTAAAACTTATGCTCCCACAAATCTGTTAGGCTACGTCTACACTGGCAGCTTCTTGCACAAGAACTCTTTTGCAGAAGAGTTCTTGTGCAAAAACTCTTCCAGAAGAGAGCGTCTACACTGGCATGTGCTTTTGCGCAAGAGATGTGCTTTTGCACAAGAGCATCCATGTAAGTGTAGACGCTCTCTTGCGCAAGAAAGCTCTGATGGCCATTTTAACCATAGGGCTTTCTTGCACAAGAAATTCATGTTGCCTGTCTACACTGGCCTCTTGTTCAAGAACAGTTGCGTAAAAGGGCTTATTCCTGAGCGGGAGTGTCAGAGTTCTGGTGCAAAAAGCCCTGATTTCATACATTAGAACGTCAGTTTACTTATGCAAGAACACGCGGCCAGTGTAGGCAGGCAGCAAGTTTTTGCGCAAGAGCGGCCACTTTTGCGCAAGGTCACGCCAGTGTAGACACAGCCTTAGGGTATAAGGTGCCACAGGACGACTTGTTGTTTAAGCGGATTCAGACTAACACAGCTACCCCTCTGATACTTGTCACCAGTCTATGCTATATAATTAAAGAAATGGGAGACTTTACAATCTTTGCTGAAAACTAAGGTTCAGCAATATAACTTTACTCAATTTATCAGACAGATGCTTTATATATTTAAATAAATAACATTTTTAACTGTAAGACATTTACTGAGCCAGTATTTCAGATTCCATAAAACAATATGCTTTAAAAACTTGCTGAAAACGCTTAGGGTACAATGACACAGCAGGGCTAAAGTCGAATTAAGTTATGCAACTTCTGTTATGTCAATTGCGTATCTTAAGTTGAAATAGCTTAACTTGGCTTTTGGCACTCTATATAGCAGGTAGTCAAAGGAAGAACACTCTTACTTTGGCTGCTCTTACTCCTTGTGAAATTAGGGTTACTATGAGTAGGAGTAAGAAGTCTTCCAGCTCAATATTATTTCAAAATTAAGTAGGGTAGATACGCTCTTTAATGCTGATGTGTAGACGTACCCTTAGATAGTGTTTTATAGTGAGTGATCATCATGCTGATTTCAATGTACTGAAGACCTAATTGGTATTAAGTGTTTGTAGAACTGGAACATTTGCACACAGCAAGAGAATCCACTACTAAAAAATGTTCCAGTTAAGTTAGTGAATGGTGAAAAATGCTTGGTCAGAGAACTTCTAAGTAGAAGGAAGCAAATAGAGTACTAAGCCAGAGATGTTGGGAAGGCAGAAACATCATGTAAAAGAGCTGGATTTTGTGTTTCTGACATATTGATTTTGCACTTTTTGCAATCAAGACATTTCTATGCTTTAAATACTAGTTCTGCAACAGTCACGTTGACAAGTGGAATAGTCACTCAGCAATAGCTTATGCTCAGTAATAGTTTATGCAATTATTTATATACTCAGCAATAGCTTATGCAACCCTTCTTGTTGTGAGAGGGAAAGTTGAGACATTAGTCTTATCTCCTGCTCAAATTTCATAGGATCTGTGATTTCCACTTGGACACCAAGACAGCCAGAGGAAAGCTGAAAGTGTCAACCAGCAGTTCTACACCCTGTTTCAGCACTCTACTAAAAGGTCAGCAATGAAAACAATGAACCTAAATTCTAGACAATCCTGAAAGAATGTTGGCAGTAGCAAACAGCAGTTTTACCCATCGGAAGAATAGTTCTAAGCAGACCCAGTAGAGGATGTGGTTTCCACCCTGATTCAAAGCAGCCTGGCCTAGCATAAATTATGATATGCTAATTTAGGATTACATGTAGTGGAGCTCTACTCTACTATGCCTCTTCCCCTAGTACTTGTCTTGCCAACACGCTCCCTCTCATATAATCTTTAAGCCAGCTGAGGGATGGCAGGAACTTTGGCTGGCAAAGTTTCCAGGGCTCCTAGTGTGATGCTGTGGCTAAAAGAGCTAATGTAATCCTTGGACGCAAACAGGAGTAGAGAGGTATTTTACCTCTGAATTTGGTATTGGTGTCCAATTCTGGTGGCTCCAATTCAAGAAGGATGTTGATACATTGGAGAAGGCTAAGAGAAGAGCCACAAGAATGATTAAAGGATTAGAAAACATGCTTTATGCTGATCAATATAAGGAGGACAGTCTATTTAACACAAAGGGATGACTTGATAATAGTCTGCAAGTGCCTACCTGGGAACAAATATTAAATTATGGGTTATTTAATCAAGCAGAGAAAGGTATAACACAATCCAATGGAAGGAAGTAGGAGCTAAACAAATTCAGACCGGAAATTAGGTATATATTTTTAACAAAAAGAGTAATTAATCCGTGGAACAACTTACCAATGGTTGAGATGGATTCTTCAATCACTGATCATTTTTAAATCAAGACGGAATGTGCTTTTTAAAAAAAATGGTTTAAGAATTATTTGGGGATACTTCTAATGGTCTATTATATATAGAACGTCAGATGATGACAATAGTCCGTTCTGGCCTTGGAATCTATGACTCTTAAGGCTTCATCTACGCTGCACAAAAACTTCTTGCGCAAAAATGCATCCACACCTCAAAGCACATCGCTTTTGTGCAAGAGAGCATCCACACTATTGGATGCTCTTCCGCATATAAAGCCACCCTGAACCGGTTCTAGCCAGACTAGAGGTCACCAGTTGCTCTTGAGTGCTGTTGCCAGAGCCCTCCAGAGACGTGCACTTAAAGGGGCCCCCCTGGACAGCCACTTCTCTGTTTCTGCTGCCTGCTTGCTAGCCTCTTTGGCAAAGCAAAGCTTCAACAGTGCCTGCTGTGTTTGCCCTTTGCTTTTTTGGGAATGACACAGCTTTTACCTGCTCTGCCCTGTGCTATGGAGTTGGAGCTGCCCTGGATATGCAACAGACCCCAGGGCCATGCTGCACTCCCTGCAGTGAATGCTTCAAGCAGGGGTCCTCTTCCAGCTGGAGGTGGACCCCAAAATATTCCTGATCAGCCTCTGTCTGACTGTGGGTGCTCCACTCTGGCTGCCCCAGCCCACCATACCCAGAAGATTCTGGAGACTGGTGGGACCGGTTGGTCATGGAGCTGTAGGACAACCAGCAGTGGATGCAGAACTTCTGCATGTGGAAGGCCACTTTCCAGAAGCTCTGTGCCTGGCTCACCCCTGCCCTCTAATGATGCGACACCCACCCGCGGCCCGCCATCCCACTCCAGAAGCTGGTCACCATCATGCTGTGGAAGCTGGCCACCCCAGACAGCTACCGTTCGGTGGCACACCAGTTTGGGGTGGGGAGGTCCACCATCATGGCTGGCCTGATGCAGGTAAGGAGATAACGGGATGCAGCCCCTGCATGGGAGGAGAGGGGGTGTTGCATAAGGAGGACCTTCAGGACAGGGGGGCTGGTGCCTTCTCGCCCTCACACTGGCCTGGTCGTGGGGAGGGAGGGGGCGGGCATGGGTTCACAGTGGGTGGCTCCTGACCCCTTTCCCCTTGCTCCTACCCCAACCAATGAATAAACATACCTGCTTGGTTTTCAACAAAACAAGGGAGGCTGTCTGAACTGGGAAGGGGGGATCATGTCTGGGAGGAGCGTTGGGGCAGTTTGTGAGCGCCCTCAGGTGTGGGGACGTTGTTATGGTTGGGAGTGTCTGGGGACCCCAATGGGGAGGGGCAGCTGGAGCAGGGCCATGATTGGCGGTGGGGCGGAAGGGGGTAGGAGGAGGAGCCATAGGAGGGGCTGTAGGTATGACTGGGGGAGGAGGCATGGCCATGGGAAAGGGAGGGAGTTGAGGCATGGCAGGGGGGGCAGACGGGTGAGCCATGGGTGGGGGGGGGCAGGAGGGTAGAAGGGAGGAGCAGTGGCAGTAGGTGGCTGTTCCCCCATGTCATGCCATGAGGTCACTCCAGACCTCCTGCCACCACTCAAGATCAGCATTCAGCTGGCGCGACAGGGTGGCATGGATGTCACGCATCACCCCGATGTGCTGGCGCATAAGCTCTTCCCCAGGCCTGGCTCTTCTGCGGCTCCCCTGGACTCTGGCAGGTGGCTGTGGTGGATGGTCTGGTTCCCCTCCCCCAAGGATGTGGAGAAGACATGAGGGAGGGGCAGTCAGTCCTCCCTGCACACATTCCCTGTGGCAGTGCCCTGTGTGAGTGGTGACAGCACCAATCCACAGCCCGGAGGAGGAAGATGCAAAGCCACGTGTGGCCTTCGCAGCATGCCCCTGTGCCACAGGGATTCCGAGGTTGCCAGAGGACTGTGGTGCCCACCTTCCTTCCACTCTCCCTCCCCTGTGCACACACACCGTGGCCAGGCAGGCAAGGGAAGTGTGTGGCCAGTGTGGGAGCCCCTGATGAGCAGGAGAGGAGCTGTGTGCAGCCTGCTACTCCCTGGGGGGCGCACACACAGCTGCAGCTCTCTCTGCAGTGTGTGTGTGCCAGCAGCTGCTTCCTCTCACGTACAGGCAGCCCGTGCGCTGTTGCAACTCTCCAGGGCGTGTGTGGGGTCGTGCCTGCGCCCTTGCGGCTAGCCTGCTTGCAGCTGGCTGCCCTCCCTTCTGCTGGAGGCAGGACTCGTGTGGCCATGCATGAGGCTGGCAGCAGGCTCCCAGGCATGTTGAAGGGCTGGCAGCTGTGGCCACGTGCTGCACCCTCCCGCTGCATGTGGTTGCACATGAACAGACTACAGCAGCATTTGCTGGTCTTGCAGCCTGCACAACAGTGTGCACCCTGCCCTCTGTGCGCCCATCTCCTCCCTGACGATCTTGCCAAGCCTCTTCGGAGGCCTGGGAGACGTCCAGGTTGGCAGGGACTGGCTCCAGGGATCGTGTGATGGTCCTGCTGTCCTGGTCCTCCTCCTGTGTCGGGGGCTGGACCTGTCCCTCTGTTTCCTCTGGGTCAGGGACAGGCTCCGGGTGCCGGACTACCAGCTGCTCCAGGCCAGAGTCGACCAAGATGGAGGGGGAAGAGGATTCCCCTACCCCCCAAGGATGTGGTGGAGCTCTTTGTAGTAGGGGCAGGTGTGGGGTCCTGCCTCTGAGTGTTCCCTCTGCTCCGTCGCCCTCACATATCCCTAATGGAGCTTCTTCACCTTTGCCCAGATCTGTTCCATGGTCTGGGCAGGGTGACCTCGCTCTGTCAGAGATGTGGCCATGCAGGAGTAGATCTCAGCATTGCGCCTTTTTGTCCTGGGTTGTTGGAGCGACTCCTCCTCGCCCCCCAATTCAAGGAGGGTCGTGATTTCAGCGCTCCACCATGATGGTGTGCGGTGCTTGCTGCCCCGGTGAGGGGCCCTGGGAGCTCTGTGGCTGTTCCCTGTCAGGGTCAGAGGGGTCTCGGGCACTTGCTTGCTCTGCCATTTGTGCCGACAGAGATTCGCGCAGCAAAGGCAGCTGGCTGTGGGCAAGCTTCCTGCCACAATGGCTGTACAAGGTGCCTGCAGCTTTAAGAAGGGCCAGCAGATAGGAAAAAGAGAATTGTGATTCCCTGCTACAGAGCGTCCAAAAGGCCACCTGTGTTTTTTCCTGGAGACCAGTTTTGTTGCAAAAACCCCTGCGAAGCATCCACACTTGCCTTTTTGTGCAAGAGCTGTAGTGCAAAAAGGAGTTATTCCTCGTGGGGAGAGAAATAACTGTAGTGCAAAAAGCCTTCTCTTCTACCGATTTTCTTGCGCAAAAGCACACTTGAGGTGTGACTATTCCACCAGTTTTTGCACAAAAATAGCCGTTTTTGAGCAAAAACCTTGTAGTGTAGATGTAGCAAAGGCTACGTCTATACTGCAGGGTTTTTGTGCAGGAAGTCTTTTGCGGAACAGTTCTTACACAAAAACTTCTTGCGCAAAAGCGTGTCCACACATCATGGACTGCATGGACGCTCTTGTGCAAGGAAGACCACCTGTGCTTTTTCAGATAGGCTCTTTTTGTACAAGAAGCCCCTGCGGAGTGTCCACACATGCCTTTTTGCACAAGATCTGTAGCGCAAAAAGCAGTTATGCCTCATAGAAGGAGGTATACCTACACCTCAAAAAGCCCTCTATTCTGTCAATTGACTAGATTTTCTTGCGCAAAAATGCGCTTGAGGTGTGGACACTCCACGGGGTTTTGCTCAAAAATGGCCATTTTTGCTCAAAAACCTCATAGTGTAGAAGTAGCCTAAGAGTATGTCTACACAGCAGCGTTATTCTGGAAATTAACATATTGCGCATCTACGCTACAAGCCTTTATTTTGAAATAATGTTGAGGTGGAGAACTTCATACTTTAACTCATGGTAACCCTCATTTCATGAGGAGTAAGGGAAGTTGGAGGAAGAGTGTTCTTCCTTTGACTTCCTGCTGTGTAGACAGCACCAAAAGCCAAATTAAGCTATTTCAACTTAAGCTACGCAATTGATGTAGCTGAAGCTGCATAGCTTAATTCGACTTTAGCTTTGTTGTGTAGACGTACTCCAAGAGTTCCTCTCTGCTGGGAGAATTCTCCACTGGCTATTCATATTATTTGAATGCCAGTTTACAATACATACATGGCAAACAGGGTCTTTAGAAGAACAGAAAATCTGTCCTCTGTGTTTGTGAAATATAATTAAGATAACACTATACAAAGCCATATCTATCAGGAGTGTCCCGCACTT